TGAAACTCATAGAACAGAAAGTAGAATAGAGGTCAGCAGGGCCAGAGGGAGGGGGAAATGGGAGTCATTGTTTAATGGGTCCAGAGCTTCAACTGGGATGATGAAAACATTCTGGAGACGGATGGTGGTGATGGCTGCACAATAATGTGAATGTACTTAATGCCACTCAACCATACACTTAAAAATGGTTAGAATGATAAATTTTGTAGTATTTGTATCTTACCACAATTTTTAAAAATAAAATTAATTAGTTATAAAAAACCCAAAAAACAAATATCTCTTATTCCCATGGAACAAATGCACTTTTTTTTTTTTTTGTCTCCAAAAATTCTTTCAGAAAATGACCACCTCAACAGCAGCAACATCTCGGTATCTCCTGACTCAGCTTTCAAAGCTGCAGAGCGCTTTGTGGCGTGATCACAGGAAATAGGGTCTGCCCAACAGAAGGAAAGGAAGTGGTCATTTCCCTGCTTGTCTTCAGCACTGTTTATGTAAAAATATTCTGCCCTCTGAGATGTTTTGACTTTTGGTATCCTCCTCCTAGGCAAGCCGGAAACCCTGAGGGTTAACATCTTTACTCTTTGTTTCTAAGCAATGACAGAAAGTCAGCTTTTGAAAAAGAAATTTTTAATGAAAGAGAGCAGAGCAAGAAATAGCACTGCAGTTTTATCCGCCTCCCTCACCACCTCCTTGGCAGGAATTAACACACTTGAAGTTATGCAATTTTTTCCCATTTATAAACCATGGGCGTCATTAAGTTTCTTAAGATTTCTATACCCTTCACCAAATTACTTCCTGTATCATAAAAATCTTCCTTGGACCAAAAAAAGTTTACGAAATAATTATAACATACGTGGTAACACAAAAGGCCTTTGAATTCCTAACTATCTCAATAGCAGTTTATTTCTTTTCCTGTTTTTTAATTCATCTACCTGCAGAAAGAACTTTAAAAACATCTTTGTTCTGTGTTGCCAATTAATTTATTTTTCATTAAATACATTTGCACCAAAAACATGCATAACTATTGATTTCATTAATGGTTTGTGGAGTGATACTTAACCTCCTCAAAGATGGAGTGTCTACATAAATTTGGAATTCTTCAGTTAAGGAGACTTGCCTCTTCTCCGCATTTATTCACTTATTCTACATTTATTGATATCAGTATGAGCTCACTGATATTTATTTTATACTTTGGGTTATAATCCAATACTACTTTATTATTATTATTATTATTATTACTATTATTATTATTTTGGTGAGAAAAATTAGCCCTGAGCTAACATCTGTTGCCAATCCTCCTCTTTTTGCTGAGGAAGATTAGCCCTGGGCTAACATCCGTGCCCATCCTCCTGTATTTTATGTGGGACCTGCCACAGCACGGTTTGATGAGTGGTGCGTAAGTCTGTGCCTGGGATCCGAACCTGCAAACCCTGGGCCTCTGAAGCGGAGCGCACGAACTTAACCACTATGCCACCTGTCCTGCCCCAATACTACTTTATTTTGTTGCTCAAATTGTCTGAGCTTTGGCTATGTGGTCTTACGTGTGCTTGGCAGAAGGAAAAACAAAACAAAGACAAAACTGAGTGTCTACTGTGTGTGGTGTTGTGTTGGGTCCTTTCACTCTTTAAATTTATTTTTAGTGGCATTCAGTTTCCAAAGCCCACGTACAGCCTCAGGAACACAAGTCCTGGCTCTCAACCAGATGGTGACTTTGCACCAGTTACTTAATCTCGCTGAACCCCAGTTTCTTAATCTGTAAAATGAAGATAATGCCTATTTGCAGGGTTGGGGTGGATTAAATGGATAGCTTATAAAGTTAATATATGCATAAAAAGACAAATTGTCACCGATTAATTGCCCCAAGTAACTCAAAGGAGGCTTCAGAAGCACTTAACTGTTTTTTCAAAATGATTTTTTTAGGGGCCAGCCCAGTGGTGTAGTGGTTAAGTTCGCCCACTCCACTTAGGCAGCCTGGGTTCCCAGGTTCCGATCCTGGTGCGGACCTACACACCACTCATCAAGCCGTGCTGTGGCAGCGTCCCACATGCAAAAATAGAGGAAGATTGGCACAGATGTTAGCTCAGGGCCAATCTTCCTCACCAAGAGAAAAAAAAATTCTTTTTTTAGTTATGTTAAGAGATGTAATCACCAACTGCTCTGAACTGGTCCAAACCCCACCTCAAGAGTGACACCTGCGCAGACCAACAGAGAAGTGCCCAAGGGATTACCTTTGCATCATTTTAATGTTAAGATCTCCACCCCAGGAGGAGCCTAGGCCTTATTACCATAACATGCGACGCATGTGGAAGCATATTTTCCCACCGCACCTGCGTGAGCGAAAACTCACCTCTGCATGTGATGGCAAAACCTCCCTTTTGAATATTCATTTCCCATCTGAAATAAAAGGTCCCTGCTTTCCCTTGTTGTGAGAGCCACAGCTTTGGACATAATTCCCTGTGGGTTCCTTATTTGCTGCAAATAGATCTTACTTTGTGTGACACCTACTTTTGGTGAAGACTTTGATTTCAACTCACCAAGTAGTAAACCCACTTTGGTTTGGTAACAAAATCATTCCAATTATATGAGGTGTCTAGAACAGTCAAATCAATAGAGACAGAAGGTAGAATGGTGGTTACTCAGGGTTGGGGAAGGAGGAAAGGTGAATTAGTGTTTCATGGGTACAGAATTTCAGTTCTGGATGATGAAAAAGTAGTGGAGATGGGTGGTGGTGATGGTTGCACAACAATGTGGGTGTATTTTTTTTTTAATAATTTTATTTATTCATTTATTTATTTATTTTCCCCCAAAGCCCCAGTAGATAGTTGTATGTCACACCTGCACATCCTTCTAGTTGCTGTACGTGGGACACGGCCTCAGCATGGCCAGAGAAGCAGTACGTTGGTGCGCGCCCGGGATCCGAACCCCGGGTCGCCAACAGCGGAGCGCGCGCACTTAACCGCTAAGCCACGGGGCCGGCCCAATGTGAGTGTACTTAATACCACCGAATTGTATTTGAAAATGGTTAAAACAGTAAATATTATGTTATGTATATTTTACCACAATTTTTAAAAAAGTAATATATACTCGAAAATTCAGAAAACATTTAAAAAATGTTTTAAATACTTAATAACCTCAGTATCAGGGGTCACTTCTGCTTTGTCATTTGTAGCCTCTGTGTACAGGTTGAATCCTACTCATACAATTTTGTCCTTTTCACATTATATCATGAGTATTTTCCCATGCTGTTCAAAACTCAGTAAACATTTTTATTAGCTGCATGATATTCCGCCCTCATTTATTTAATCATTGCCATATTTTTAGACCTATTTTTCAACATTATAAATAACACTATAATGAACATCTCTCTGTGATTAAATATATCTTCATTCCCATTTCGAAATACATCTTCAGTACAGACATGGAACTAGAATGGGCCAAGAGGTGAACCTTTTTTTTTTTTTTTTTTCGGTGAGGAAGTTTGGCCCTGAGCTAACATCTGTTGCTAATCTTCCTCTTTTTGCTTGAGGAAGATTAGCCCTGAGCTAACATCTGTGCCCACCTACCTCTGTTTTGCGTGTGGGATGCCACTACAGCATGGCTTGATGAAGGGTGTGTACGTCCACCCCCAGGATCCAAACGCAGGAATCCCAGGCCACCGCAGGGGAGCGCGCGAACTTAACCACTACACCACATGGCCCGGCCTCGAGGTGGACATTTTAAGGCAAGTGATATAAGTTGTTATACTTTCTCAGAAAGGTGCCCTGATTACATTGCCACAGGCTACCTGGAAGACACCCATTTTAAGACACCCACACCAGTTGCCTACTATTCCTTCATAAAATCCCCTCTACTTGGTAGCTTAAATACGGTATCTTGTTGCAATGTTGTCTGTTAATGTTCTTTGCCTTCCCCTACCCCACCTTTATACTTAGCGTCTTTTTAAATCATTTGTAGGAAATTTTATATAGTAAGGTTATTTATAAATTTCTCCCCTCTTTGCCTTTAATTGGGTTTAATTATTGTCCAAATCTGTTGCTCTTAAAGAGGGTGGAAACATTTTAATCTCTGAAGTTCTTTGATTTTTTTTGTTTTTTATCCATTAATTTAAATTACGTCAAGTAAGCTCCAGTCTCAACCGCAGCGTCAGCGGGGAACTGAGGAGCAGATCCTGTTTAAGAGAGGGGCCCGAGTCCAGGCCCGCGGCCACCAGCGGTGTCGCCCTGCGTTCCTCCCGCTCTGACCCTGAGCCGGGGACGGTGGCAGCCGCGCCCCGGGGCCCTCCGCCAGCCCTGCGGCCGGGGGAAGCGAACCCGGGCCGGGCACCGGCGCGGTCGCGGCTCAAGGCGCCTTCTAAGCGGGGCGGGGGGCTCACCAAAGGAAAACCCCACCCACCTCCATAAAGAGCCACATTCTTTTCCACGGCCCCCGCTGGGGGGAGGGGGGGAAGGGTGCCCTTGTCTCGCGCTCCTCTCCGCAGCCTTCCACCGGCTGGAAGCGTCGCTGTCGGGGCGTCCTGGGCGCCCGCGGTCCAGCACGGAAGGCAGGGCGGGTCCCCGGACTTCTGTAGCCGCCCCCCTAAACCGCGCGGCCCTTTTAGCGAGGTGGACGTGAGAGTCTCCGGAAATCGGGAGACCTAGATGCTCGCGCTGGAACCAGAACCCCGAGGGCTGTGGGGGACCCCTCCTCTCCCGCATCCCCAACCCGGAGGGAGCGCGCCCTACGGAAACGCCCACGCCCCTTGCCCCCACGTGTCCCCTTCTCCGGGCTTCCCGTGTCACTTCCCGCCGTCCCCTCCCCGAGCTTCCTCGCCGCCGCCCCAGCGACCCTCCCAGGGTTTCCTTTGTCCCCTCCACACCCTTGCCCTGGGCTTCCCGAGTCCCCTCCTGGACATCGCCCTCCCCATCCCACCCCACCCCTCACGCTCCCTCCTGGAGAATTTCTTGTCCCCTCCCCCTCCCCGGTTTCCCGTGTCCCCTCCCCGCCCCGCCCCCGTTTTTAAACCTGGCGCCGAGCGCACTGGTAGGTGAGCGCCCTCGCCCAGCGGTTAAAGGCGCGGCCGAGTCGCTGGCGCAGCTGGAGGGGCGCGGGCTCCGCGGGCACCATGAGACCCGAGGCGGCTGCCGGAGCCCGGGAGGCGCGGGAGCGCGTCTGTCACTGTCCCGGGAACGGTCCCCGGGAACCACCGCCGCCGCGCGGGCCCGAGAGGTGAGGGTGTCCCCGCGGCCCCGCTGGACGCGTCGAGAGGCGCGCGGTGCGGCGGTGCGGGGAGCGCAGAGCGAGATGCTCCGGCTCCGCTGAGCCTCCGAGCCCGACGGCGACACGGAGCAAGTTCCTTAGCCAGAGACAGGGGCGCAGAGTCCTCTCGGTTCCAACGCACAGTTCTGAAGTGCGGAGGTCCAGGAGGTGCCCGCCAAGGAAGTGGGCCAACGCTTCAGTTTACAGATCTGAAATTCACCCGGGTGGGAACGTTGAAGTCTCGGGGCTCCGTCGCGAGCTTTGCAGGGGGATCCCCTCAAATTGGCTGTCACACTTTTGGTGACAGTCTTTGTTTGCCCCGTGCTTTGGGCTCAGCGTTCGCTGTCCCCGGGCACCAGCCCTTTGTCAGGTAGTCAGGTTAAAATGGAATTAGCCGGGGAGGCGTGGAAGGGGCAGCCAGAGAGGAGGAATGGATTCCCCCTTTTTGCATGGTAGAACTCTAGAACCCTCTCTGTAGAGTCTAGATCCTTCAATAATTGACGTGGGTGCTGTTGAAATCGCTGAGCGACAAAGTAGCCACCGACAGTGGGGAATCTGGATTGAAGGACCCAGCCAGGCTGGGAGACGAATCCCTCAACTAATGTGTCCCCTGATAATTGTATCAGATGAGGGACTTCCCAAAGCCCAGTGAAGGCAGAGAACTGGGGATGTGGCAGGAGCAGAAAACACAAATGGCACTGGGTTTATCCAGAGACTGAGAATTTGAGAGGACATCCTGGATGTCCAGTGACTTTCTCAGGCAGACTTTAGAAATTATGAGTGATAACTCTTATGATATAATTTTAAAAGACAGCAGAAAATGCCGAGGTTCACTCTTGGTTCCTGCCATTCCAGCCCCACACCCTGGAGACCTTGGATCCTGACACCCCAAGATGCTGAGCCGAACAGAACTGGAAGCCGGGTAAGGTTAAGGTAGGCATTGTAGGTGTCAACAGTTCAGCCAGAAAGTGATACCATCTCTAAAATAAAGGGACCAGGAAAGGCCTCCCCGGCCTGTCCCTCCCTTAGTTATCTAATGCAGAAGTGCCTCCGGGTCTGGGAGTAGGAGCCTATGTGAGCAAGGTGTTGATCAGATCTGAGTCACATGTAGATTGGGTTCCTGTTTGCTTGTCCTTTCTTGAGAAGCAAAGCCACCTTGGCAGAGCTGTTTCATGGGCATTGTAAGAGATTTCTTCCATGTTGAGTTTTTTTCCTGCAAACCAGCCGGTAGAGAGAGGAGGGGAGAAGGCAGCCTCTGTCCCCCTCACCTTAGAGAAAAGCTGAGTGCACCATTAGTTCTGGGCTGGTGCCACAGAGCAAATACCGGCAGAGCCCTATCTGGGGTGCCCAGAGGTGCCGTTAAAAGCCCCCACCCCCTTCTGACCCTTTCTGAAGCACTTTCGGCCCTGTCTGCAAGCACTCCTGGGGTAACTCATGTTGTCTGAGCAAATACACTCCAGCCGAGGGCTTTGTGGGCAAAGATTAATCGCCACCACTATTCTTTTGTCTCCTGCATTGGTAACCGCATTGCTTTATACTTACTGAAGTAATGACTTGCTTTCAGAAAAGTTACCTTTCCTTTGTTTATTTTAAAATGTAAATTGATGACTTTTAAAATGCTGAAGTTAATCAGGCTGGGAAGGACCGTGTATTTACTTTACATAACATTTGAGGCATATAGCTTAGTGTGTACTTATTTGTAATGTGATAAGAAACTCAGGTGCAGGAAAGCAGACTTTCACGGTATTTTTGTATTGAGACTACTTTATTTAATTAGTCTGATAAATGGGTTTTAATTCAGTGACTATTTTTTACTTTAAGAGTGAGGCAAATAAAATCTAGATCAGATTAACGAGGGATATGGTTTATTAGCCCACATTATTCTTACATGCAATGTCTAAATAATGGAAAATAATTCCTTCTTTTGCATTCAAACTTTAGTTCTCAAACCTAAGACTTAAAGGTGCTTGGGGGAGAGAATATGCAGAAGTTTACAATTATCCAATTTTCTTTTAAATGAAATGTATGTGGAACCTATCAGTTGTTTGCAAGTATAAAAATACTATAGCCTACTTGCTAATGTAAGGCAGGTGTTTTTTTCCTATTATGATGAGAAGGCCATTTGTGAGAAAAATGGAGTGCTTGCAGAAAAATGTTCTAGTGGATCGTCAGCACGGCACACTGGAAGAAGCAGATGTGTCCGTGGATTTTTTTAGCGGGGAGGGCGGGTGTTCCGTGGGGCCTGTAGAGCTCGCGAGCTCGCTGCCCCGCTCTCCCTGGGCCAGCTCCTCGGAGAGCCCGGGTGGCTGGACAGAGAGGTCCACGGCCGGCGACTGCAGGCCCCGCGCACCGCGCACGGTCCCCGGGAGCCCCCGCGGGTTGAGCGCCACTCTGCGCGGGGAGGTACCGCTTCTTGCTCAACAGCCCCCTCTCCCGACAAAGCGGGAGAATTCCTCGGCTCCAGAGCCCTGCTGAGTATTTCTCAAGAAGTGTCATTGGCGGGGAGCGGAGGGGGATGAGGAGGGGATACTGCCTGGTGACCTGTGCCAGGACGGCCGGCAGGAAGAGAAAAATTAGAATAAAATCTCAATGCGAGGGAAGGCCTCACGGCCCTGTGTCTTGAGCAGCGGGGTCACCCTCATCCATTTGGTGCCCTGACCACCCCTGGGAGCTGTCTGCCTCCCCTGCCTGGGAAAAATGAACGACAGCCTAAACCTCTGTTGACCTCTGTTCCTTTTCCCTCCTGGCCACTTGCCGGCCCTGGAAGGGAGGGGATTTCCTGGAAAGAGGTGTCAGGGACTGTGTTCTCCTTGGCACCTCCCTTCTTCCAGGCTTCCCACATCTTAGCTTTAGGGACGGCAGGCATGCACAGAGGGGAGAAGGCGAGACCCTCACGAAAGACTGTTTGTGCCTGTTCTCTCGCTCTCGAGAACACACACACACACACACCTTAAACGCAGTGCTTAACTTGTATACGTTTTTGTTCCCCTTGCATTATCAATTGTGAACATTTAGACATTTGCATCATCAGAAAAGGATCTTTTATTAATAAGAGGATATTTTGTAGCATAAAGTTTGTGTATGTTTGTGGGGTAACGTTTTTAAAGTTTATAAAGGTGTGCCGTGGGGCCAGCCTGGTGGCCTAGCAGTTAAGTTCACGCACTCTACTTCGGCAGCCCGGGGTTCGCAGGTTCTGACCCCCGGCACGGACACGATGCACCGCTTGTCAAGCCATGCTGTGGCAGCATCCCACATAAGGTAGCGGAAGATGGGCATGGATGTTAGCCCAGGGCCAATCTTTCTCAGCAAAAAGAGGAGGATTGGCGACAGACAGTAGCTCAGGGCTAATCTTCTTCACACACACAAAAAAAAGATGTGCTGTATGTTTCACAGAGTCTGGTTAGAACTAATCACTTTAAGGAAGCTATTCTTTGTACCACCGAACACTGCCTTTTGGTGCCCACTGAAGTTTGCATTGTTGCTTTAGACCCTCTCCCATCACAGGGTGTGAGATCACCCCTGGCAGCACAGGATTGCTTATAGTTGTAGGCTGAACCTCGTCAATTTGGGGTGTTTTATAATTACAAACGGAGCTAACACAGAAGTGAAACCTGGAGCCCCCAAAGAGTGAACCTCATTATGGAAAAGATTTTGTTCCAAAGAGCTTCATTTTAACTCCCTTAGCCCCTCGCAAGGTATTACAAAAATATGGCTGGTAAAAAGGGGATGACATTTGCTCACAAAGGTCACACACAGAAACACACCAAGGTCCCCTACAGGATGGAATGGCATGGTGATCGTTGGTGACAATCATTGGAATCCTTCCGTGTCATGCCCTCGCAGGTTTTGTCCCATTCCCCATCTGGTTCCTACTAAATTCCATGGAACCCAAGGGCTTGGGTTTCTGATCCCTTGCCCCAGTCCATTTCAGCTCTCTTTCAAGTTGTCCCCGATGGTCCATCCCAAGGCATCCCCCTCCGCACTTTCCACAGTAACTAAAGCTCTCTGAGATCTGAGATCCAATGACGGTTTCTGGCTCCTCAGCCCCTCGGGTGACTTAGCCACTCTTCAAGCCAATTCCTTTCAGGTCCAGCACCTCAGGAGTTTGGGCAGAATGGAATCAACCCTGGACAGGCAGAATGTGACTGTCCCTTCGCCTCCCTCATGCTCACGCCGGTCACAGTTAGCACAGACAAGCCTGGCTCTCTCTCTGCTTGTGTCTTGTCTCCATCCGTCAATGTTGTCCTTAGTCGCCTGGCACTCAGACTACCTTCCCTCTCTACGTTTTTTTTTCGGTGATTTCCTTTGCTGTACAGAAGCTTTTTGGTTTGATGTAGTCCCACTTGTTTATCTTTGCTTTTGTTGCTTTTGCTTGTGGTGTCAAATCTGAAAAATCGTTGCCAAGACTGATGTGAAGGAGCTTACTGTATCTGTTTTCTTCTAGGAGTTTTATTGTTTCAGGTCTTATGCTCAGGTCTCTAATTCAGACTGAGTTGATTTTTGTGTGTGATGTAAGACTGGGGTCCAGTTTCATTCTTTTGCATGTGTTCAGTTTTCCCAAAACCATTTATTGAAGAGACCGTCCTTTCCCCATTGTATATTCTTGGCTCCTTTGTTGTAAATTAATTGACCATATATGCATGGGTTTATTTCTGAGCTCTCTTCCGTTCCATGGATCTATGTGTCTGTATTTATGCCAGTACCATACAGTTTTGATTACTATAGCTCTGTAATATAGTTTGAAATCAGGAAGTGTGACGCCTCCAGCTTTGTTCTTGTTTCTCAAGTTTGCTTTGGCTATTGGGGGCCCTCTCCTCCACTCTTGATCTTCAAGTGGTCTTGGGCCTTGGGAGGCTAGTGAAGCGTCCTTGGAATCCATCTTTCCTTTCCCTCTGGTCACTGGTACTTGAGCTCAAATCTTGATCACCTCTTGCCAGGTGCCTCCAAGCCTTCACCTCGCCAATCTAGGCCATGTGCTGCTCCCAGCGGCCACCGTTATCCTTAAAACACAGATCCGATTGTTGAACTCCCAGCTCAAAAAACAGTAATGGTGTTAATGCCTGTCTCCAGAATGAAACTCAGACTCAATAGTGGGTACTTAAGGTGTTCTGTAATCGGTACTCAGCTTCCCATTGGAGCCCTTTTGCCAACACAGCCTCTCATTCGTTCCACCCTGGGCTCCACACCCTTCTCCGCCTGTGCTCTCTGTTTTCCTGCCTCTCAGGATTTGATGCTCACCTCCTCCAAGAGTGGTTTCCACTTGGCACACCCAAGTGCCACTGATGCCTCTGCCAGGCCCTCCAGGAACCTTTCCCCATCCTCCTCCCTGCTTAGGGTCGCTAGCATCTTACTGTACGATGCTCTGTCGTGTAGTTATTTGCCTACATTGGTCTCTCCGTGTTAAGCTTAAAACACCTGAGCTGAGCAGCTGGGCTGGACTCATCTTTCCATCTTTGAATCCCTCACAGTGCCGACAACAGTAACAGGAAGAAGGGCTTATCAAATATTGCTAAAATCGGTACTGATACCGACAAGTGCAGACGACTTCAATTTTATTTTTTTATGATTATTATTTTTTTTTTTGCTGAGGAAGATTAGCCCTGAGCTAACACCTGTTGCCAATCCTCCTCTTTTTGCTGAAGAAGATTGGCCCTGGGCTAACATCCGTGCCCATCTTCCTCTACTTTATATGTGGGACGCCTGCCACAGCATGGCTTGATAAGCCATGCACAGTTCCGCACCCAGGATCCAAACCTGCAAACCCTGGACCACCAAAGCAGAGCGCGTGAACCCAACCACTATGCCACCGGGCCAGCCCCTTGATTTTATTTTTAAAAACTTCGAGATGCTGTGTTAGAGGTTCCTTGACTGTATCTGTGTTTGTATATATCTGTCTTTACAGCCTGAGCCTGGGGGTGACCAACAAACTTCTGGATCAAAGGGAGCCTTTGGGTTCCAGCATCCTGTAAGGTAATATATGACTTCACAGGAAGAAATATGTCATTTCCTTTTAATATAAGCATTAATATACTTAGTGTCTTCAACTGTATGCATTTTCAACAAAGTGGAAAATAAGGTAGTCTATTCTCCAATATTATTGAGTTATTATTATCCCGAGGAACTTCAAGGGTATTTTGTTAGATTTCTGGGATCCATTCATTAATTCTGTTTTAATTCCAAGTTGGAATTGGCTTCTCTTTTCTTTATACCTTTTGTTTATACGTCTCATTGCATATTATGCCTTGTGTTAAATTTAATTGCATATTAATTGTATATACATATATACTTAACTTAGATATTTAGATACATTTCTGTTTTTCTCCAAGCGTATAAGTTAGTATGTTGCTTACTGCAAAGTAGACCTCCAAAACATGTGTGTTGAATAAATGAGTGAGTGGATGGATGCTCCAGCCTCTCTCAGTAGTGTTTTCATGGTCCTGCTGGTGATCAGGACCCTCACTGCTTATCCCTCATTTCGGCCATTTTAGGCAGGTGGCTCATGCTTAGGATTTTCGTCTGTCTCCCTGTCTCCATCTGTCTCCTATTTCTCTCAGTCTGTTTCCCTCTCTCTCTCATTTCTTTCAGCAAAAGGAACCAACCTATGCTGCCACCTCTCAGCAGGGTATTTTTGCCCTGGCTATCCTGGAAGACTGGAAGCCTTAATGAAACCCAAAGATACTAATTGCTAGAGGTGAAATTTAGAGCCCCTCAGGCTGGTCAAAGAGTGATTTTTGGAAAAGGGAAGCTTTCCCGGCATCCCTTACATCATGGTCCTCAATCCTCATAGGATCCCTGGAGAAGCTTTAACAACACAGACTCTGCGTGGCTCCTCTGGAGGTTCTGACACACTTTTCTGGGGAAAGGCCTAGGTATCCGTATTTTTATAGGCTTCCCAGGTGATCCTAACCTGCAGCCAGGATTCAGAGCCACCACCCTCTCATGCCCTGTAAGCATTCGCCTGCACCACCTCCCCCAGGCCTGCCCTGCACAGACTCTCTGCTGTGCACCCCAATTTTTTTTCCGGCGGGGAAGATTGTCCCTGAGCTAACATCTGTTGCCAATCTTACTCTTTTTGCTGAGGAAGATTGTCCCTGAGCTAACATCTGTGCCCGTCTTCTTCTATTTTGTATATGGGAGGCCACCACAGCATGGCTTGATGAGTGGTGTATAGGTACGCGCCCAGGATCCAAACCTGCAAACCCCCGGCACTGAAGCAGAGTGAGCGAACTTAACCGCTATGCCACTGGGCCAGCCCCACTCCCCAATTTTTGATTTACTGAAACTGTGGCGACTGGGGAGGTATGAGCTGCATCTGTGTAACTGTGTATTGCAAACTGAATACACAATTTTATTTTATCTTTTTATTGCAGAAAATTTCCAACACACACAGGAATGGAGAGAATAGTACAATGAACCCCCATGTGCCCGTCACCAGCCTCGATAATGATCAATTTTCTTCAGATCTGTTCATGTTTATCACTCTCTCTAAATCATTTTTTGTTGTTGTTGTTAGAATATTTTTAAAGCAAATCTCAGACATCCTACAAATTTGCCTATAAATACCTCAATATAACACCTAATTTTTAACATTTTAAACTCTGCCTATATTTCTGTCTTAGACATATATCCCTTCTGTCTGTTGCAGAGTTTCTCAACCTCAGCACTATTGACACTTGGGACTGGAGGATTCTTATTGTGGGGACTGTCCTGGGCATTATAGGAGGGTTAGCAGTGTCCCTGGCCTCTACCCACTAAATGCCAGTAGCTTCCCCTCAGTTACAACAACCAAAATTGTCCCCGGACATGGCCAGATGTCCCCTGGGGTTGAGAACCATGGGTCTATCGGCAATCGTAGCAAGTTTGAAATTGTGATGCATTATTTATAGCAGGGTGTTTTCTCTCTCCTATCCAAAAAGGGGAGAAATTGAAATCAGCTTTGCAAATAAGCAGATCAATTGATAATCCCTTTCAGTTCCTCAGAATACCTCAGGGAACAATGCAAACAAATTAGTGAGTAAAAGGTACAAGGATAAGAGATTAAGGGGAGGGTGGGCAGTATTTTTAATACTTTCCATGTATAACTGGAATCCTAAATTCACAAAACCTGGATTTAGAGGTTCCAAATTTTATATATTAGTTATTTTTCTTTCCTTCTTTTTTTCCTTCCTTCCCTCTCTCTCTTTCTTTCTTTCTCTATCTCCCTCCCTCCTTCTTTCTATCTTTCCTTCCTTCCTTGCAGACAAACAGCCAGGGTTGCCATTTTCTGTTCTGGCAAAGTGATGGACCAACCCCTACAGCTTCTCTACAGCAACATCCAGAAAGATTAGCCACTCAGGGTATCAGAGTCAAGTTTCCTCCAGAGGCCAAAGGGTCACAACATTCCCCATGCTTGGGGGTGTTGGGGGGTGGGGCCTAACCTAAATACAGTCATGCACCACATATATGACAGTGGTCCCATAAGATTAGTACTATAGAGCCTAGGTGTGTAGGAGGCTGTACCACCTAGGTTTGTATAAGTACTGTAGGGGAGGAAGAAATTTTCCTCTACCCTTCTAGGTTCTTCTGGCTGATCTAAGAATTAAATTGACATGAGACAGATTAACAGGAGAAAAACAAACAAAAATTTAACAACATGTATACATGGGCGAAACCCAGGAAAATCAAGAAACTTGCCAAAATGGCCAAAGCCCTCACTTTAAATACCATCCTCAGCTAAAGACAAAAGATGTTGGGAATGGGGAGAGTCAGGCACTTCAACAGGAAGTCAGGCAATTCACAGGTAGATGAAAAGGAGCAAACATTTGGAAAACAAGTGTTTGGCCACACAGAAACAGAAGAACACAGAGGGGAGCCCAACAAACAGGCTTTTCTAACTTCCTCTTTGTCTGCCACCTAGTTCAGGTTATGTTAAGGAGATAGCTTGCCTCCTGAGACAGACTTTTTTCATTTTTTGATTTATTTATTTTTGTGAGGAAGATCAGCCCTGAGCTAACATCCGATGCCAATCCTCCTCTTTTTTTGCTGAGGAAGGTTGGCCCTGAGCTAACATCCGTGCCCATCTTCCTCCACCTAACTGCTTGCGCCACAGGGCCGGCCCCTGAGACAGACTTTTTTATCCGAATTCTTTTAGGCAGTTAAGGGAGAGGTAACAAGAAAAACTTTCTGAATCTTTTCTTTCTTAAAAATAATCAGCCTAGGGGCCTGCCCGGTGGCGTAGCGGTTAAGTGCGCACGCTCCACTTCGGCGGCCTGGGGTTCGCAGGTTCGGATCCGGGCGCACACTGACATACCGCTTGTCACGCCATGCTGTGGCGGCGTCCCATATAAAGTAGAGGAAGATGGACACGATGTTAGCCCAGGGCCAAACTTCCTCAGCAAAAAGAGGAGGATTGGCATCGGATGTTAGCTCAGGGCCAGTCTTCCTCACACACACACAAAAATAATCAGCCTAAAATAATCCTCCTGTTAATGAGACAGTTGTGGTGGCAAATTTTGTTCCCCCTTCAATACACTCTATGATGTTCACACAAGGATGAAATTGCCTAAGGAATCATTTCTCAGAACATATCCCTGATATGAAGGATGCGTGACTGTAGGACATTTATTATCTGGGATGAACCAGGTCCTCCATTCGATCAGAGTGAGCCTCTTAACCTTGAAACTCTGTTTTAATTTCCTTTTACCTTCATGGAAGCCCACCCTTTTTCCTGTTTTGGTCTAAATGGAGTTGCTCACTCCGATTATAGCTCATTTCTGAGCCAGTGTGGCCAGGTTCCTCCATCTGCCCACAGTTTTGTGTTCTGGTAACTTAAAAAAACTGCTGTGTGCAGCGAAGGCAAAATCAGAGACAGAGATTGGGAATTAGCTGCTTCAGGGAAAAGGATCCTCTAGATGGAGTTTAGAACTATTTTCAAGTTGATTAATGGTGTATTTGTTTCTTAAATGTTAGACTTTATTTACCCATTTCTAAGAGTCAAGAATATCTGCAGAGTTCCGGGGAAAAAGTGCTGGCCAGTTTCCCAGTGCAAGCCACGATTCACTTCTACAACGATGAATCCGATTCAGATGAGGAGGAGCAAGAGGAAGAAGCCCAGCCCCCCGACCTTCAGTGCCAGGGGACAGAAGGTCCGGTGGAAAACGGCCCAGGGGGGAAGGGCAGAGACCGACTGACAAACCCAGGATGCAGATCCGGAGGATGTGGTGGCCTCGGTGGTAAGGGTCCACTCCCCCACCGTTATTCTCCAGGGGGTGCTGAGTGCTCCTCATTCAAATAAATCAGGTCTCTCTCCCTTGCCAGACTCACCTCACATACACTCTTGGGTTCAGCCGTTCCAGGACACTTTGCATTTCTGCTGGGTCTAGGGAGTTGTGGCTGTTTTGACTATCTCTGGTCAGCGTTCCACTCATGGCAAGAACTCAGTTTTCACTTTTCCTGGTCCTGGTGATTCTTCAAGGCACTCACGAATTGAGAAAGGATTCTAGGACCAAGAGAAGGTTTGTGTCAACACGGGTTGTTGTTGGGTAGGGCCAACTTTCAAAGCACATTGGGCATTACTCTCTGCCGATCAAATCATTATTCCAACACAGATTAATAACCCACCCATGCCTCTCACTTAACCTGAGACTCATTATTTGGCTATTTCTGCTTTTGTAAAAATGATTTAAATAATCCCCAAGGGTTGATGTGGTTGCTCTGTGGCATTCTGAAAAACTTTATTTATGAAAAACAAACAAAGCAATGAATAATTTCCATAAGAGTAACAGAAATAAAAAGATATGAATTTTTAGGGAACAGTTCTGGATAAAAACTTATATGAATCTTGTCTAAGGGCCGTGTGTATGAATAGAGAGAGAGGGGAGCCATAATCCCTAGTTGGGAACAGCTTTGGGCTTGTTACTTGAATAGAATAACACTTTTCAATCGAAGTATCAAATGTAAAATTATTTTCAGTTTTTTATATTTTGATGACCAAATGAGTGTATTCCTCGAGGTTTTTTACTTAACTATCTTACATGTGGTTCTCTTCCCAGTTTCCCCTTGAAATAAATGTTTTGAAAGAAAAAATGTTTGATAATCACCTTTTTTGTTTAAGACATTTTTAGATTTAATTCATTCTTTAAAGTTTTAAAAAGTTTGTCAGGATGTTTTTATATTTAACTCTTTCGATGATATTTATCGTCTTTAAGAATGTAGAAAAAGTATAAAAAATAAAACAAAATGGCCTATGACCTCAATGCCCAAATAATCCATTAACCTTAAAAAATAGGAGTAACACATGCAAACATTTTAACAATCCAAACAGTATAGAAAAGTACACATTGCAAAGAAAAGTCATCCTCACCCGTCCTCCTCTTTTTCTCTCCAAACGTAGCTAACATCAATTGTTTTTTTATTGTTCCACCCCTTTAAAAAATAACTTTTTTTGCTTTTTTTTTTTGCTTTTTTTTGGTCTCTTTCTTGTTAAAATTTTTTGTGGCAGGGATGGCCCCGTGGCTTAGCGGTTAAGTGCGCGCGCTCCGCTACTGGCAGCCCGGGTTCGGATCCAGGGCGCACACCGACGCACCACTTCTCCGGCCATGCTGAGGCCATGTCCCACATACAGCAACTAGAAGGATGTGCAGCTATGACATACAACCATCTACTGGGGCTTTGGGGGAAAAAAAAAGGAGGAGGATTGGCAATAGATGTTAGCTCAGAGCCGGTCTTCCTCAGCAAAAAGAGGAGGATTAGCATGGATGTTAGCTCAGGGCTG